GGAACACATCTGTGAATGTCTCTTCTGCTCTGCTTACACTTTCTACTGCATTAACCTCGATTGTTATGACATCCAGGAGACCAGAAAGCACTGTGTTTATGGCTACATCATCCGCCTAAAACGGAGATCTCAATCAGCCTCAAGACGAAATGCTGTGACCTACAGATTGAAAATACGATGTCCGAACAAAAATCAACCAAGACTTTCATTTAAAAATACGATTCCATGAGGGGCGTACCTCTTCCACAAACAGTGCAGTAGCTGACCGCTCGGAAAAGTGCTTCACACACTGTTTGAGGAATCATTGGCATCCAATCGACCTAAAAGTTCTGGCCATCTTCCTTTGATTACACAATTCCACTGTTTCCATTTTACAAGCTATTTCTGCATTTGATGACCACGAACGTGCAGCGAATTCTATACAGAAATGATCGAATCCCATATCTTCACTGTTCTAAGAGTTTACTAGTTTGCAAATCGCGTCTATAACGTAAGTTCTTCTAATCTGCAGGACCAAAACGCAACTCCTTATGAGAACCACCATCAGTAAAAGGACAGCCGTAGTTCGCCGCATTGGTCCCAGTGGTGCGCAAGTTCACCAGGCTTTTCTATTCACGAGTCACATGTGAGTATAGATGTAAGACCAAAAAGTCACTGCCCGGGCGTACATCACCAAACTTTTCGTCGCGCAGAGTGGCACTGATAGAAGATATACGGCAAAACATTCCTTAGATATCCCCCAAAAGCAGAAGCAGACCCTCAATGCCCTCACCGTCTTCAGAATATGACGTCATCTGCCATCACCGTCGAGCTCAACGAGGCTTACCGTAATCGCTCCAGCCTGAAGCTGCTACATAATTTCTTCAATCGTTAACTGGTGAATAGCTTATTAGAACAATGGATTCACTATGCGTGATCGCTTTCGTGACCAGCGAGAAATCTTCTGATGTCTTCAGGGTAGGAGGCTAGAAGTTTTTGGAGTGGGATGCACTCTTTAATTCCCAGTTGGGAACATGTGGTGCAAATTGAGCCCTGTAATTAACTCTTTAAGGAATCTTCCGCGGAAAAAGCTCCGCCTCCATTACCACAGAAAAACGATACCCCTTAGGCCCCTAGCCTCATGAGCATAGCAAAAAGAACGGAACATAAGCGTTAGTTTCGATAATACTAATCCTACACACAAGACAAAATGATCACTCTTTCCGTGGAAGATTCCTTTAAAGCGAGGGATTACGATAAGTTTGGACTGGGTTCATAGTGGAAGTGGAGATGCTGAATAATGCCCCAGTGGCGAAAAAAGCAAAGAAATCCGTCAAGAAGGCGCAAAATGGGACCCCTTTCTTTGCCCGTTGACCTCCGATAATGGACGAGCTAGCAACCAATTAGGAGGTCGTTTGCACATGTTATGCTGATAGCCTATCATTTCAGCAAGCATCATGCTTTGATTGATCACGCATCCCATGAAAAGTTATAGGATACACTCTGGAAGTGGAATATCTCGTCACATTGGCAATCGAAGGGCGCTGCTGCTGGGGGCGGAGCACAGACCGTGGCGGGGCTCAGAAAGGAATGGCAAGCCTTGTACGCTGCAACTAGCGCACCTTTGACCACAAAAACGCAACATTTCGTTTCCTTGGGCCCCTGACTACTGCTTCCAATGGTGCATGTACTTCCACGCTGCATACGCACTTTATCGTAATCTCTCGCTTTAAGGCATCTTGTCTGTGGAAATGAGCGGAGCTTCTTCCAAAGGAAGAATCTTTTGAATGCGGATGGAAGCGATCTTTACTCCCCTCCCCTCACACCTCGCATACCTTGATTGTGAGTTGCACATTGCATGGATTCAGTGCCCAATTTACAATGTGCTTCGGGGGTGTAGCATGACCATAACATTACCCAACACCAACATCAATAGCTACACCATGAATTTCTTTCCTGAATTATTGCAGGAATAGCAATTACACAGTACAGCTAATGCCGTCATAAAGAAATACAGGAATTATTATTTGAATGCTCATAGCAATTATTTCTGCGTTGGCCCTACCAAATTCGATCTACTCACACACACCTTTCACTCAGCGACAAAAAACTTAAAATTAGGACCCCGCAGCTTACTGTGAGACAAATCGTGCAGGCACTTTATGGTACAGCAAGCAGCAGAGACAATGTGACAGCGAGTTTTTAGATTTCCTGAAACACACTTGTTCAGCACCTGTCATTGAAAAAAAATCATGTAAAAAATCCTAGGCGTCCGACATTCGATGATTCAAATTTAGGTAAGTGTATCGGCAGTAACAACGTCTAGAAACAGACAGTAGACATTAATAAAAAAATCTTATTGAGCAATATGAAGATTTCCAAACATAACAGCTATATGTAACAACGATCGGAGGAACAACCAACTATACAACAACAGCATGTGCTACAACATCTACTACTCTAAAGACTGATCTATGTTCACTTCTTCAGAAGCCTGATTTCCGAAGTCTTACTCCCACTACTGGTTGTGACAGTTCATCTCGAACAGGGCGGCCCTGGAAACTAACAATGGCTCGCCTGTGCCAGTAAATGCCAGAATTTCGAACCCAACTCTTTTGGATCTTGCCCACTGCGTGATTGATGGATGACCATAGGTTTGAAGTGAACGGATCGTCCTTCAAGCTCGAATCATTTTAGACAGATTGATAACCAGAGCAACCAAATTGGGAACGACCGATAAACACGACAAGGTACAATCATTCTTATATATCGGAAGGGTATGTTTCTAGAAAATTCGCACTCTGCTCTTCATTTTAGCCGAACCAATTCTATCAAAAGACATATTAAAATTTGGCTCTTGCTGAGCTAGCAGGAAGGTCATATAATTTGTATTTCGATGACACCCAGATCGCTGTGTGTCATAAATTTTCACATTCTAGGTAAACAGAAGCACGAGATATGTTCTTCTTTTCTTCTTGTTGTTCTCCCTAGCGTTAGTCCCGCTTACCAAAGGAGAACATAGATCAGAACTGCACAACTACTACACGATGACCATAAGAATCAATCTAATCGAATAGCATCTGGCATCAATTTCACAATTCTATTGAAACACTGATAAAGCGGGTCTACCATAACGGCAGACACCTACCAGCCCTAGGGAATCAATTATTCAAATACACAAAGTCTGTGTTCTCGCACAACTTTCATCAATGGAATTTCTAAATTTTCGAGCCCAACTATGAATTGCAATAAGAAGTAATCACCTGAATCGTTAATAAACATGCAATAGAATTTCAAAGGTCGAAGATCGGTACTGATGGAGGAAGGCACTCAGTCGAGAGCGTCAGCTATTCAAATTTTTCTGTTCATTCAATTCTTGCTTTAGCTGCTCTAGTTCTTCAGGTGTGAGGTCAGTACGCGATAGAACTGACTGTAATACCGACCTGAAGCAAGAAGCATTATAGTGCAACCACAAATCACAAACCCTTCACCAAACCCGTACTTTCTTACGCCTTTTCGCTTGTCAGGCAACCGAAGCTCCTTCTTCTTAGCCTCTTCAAACTCCTCTTTCTCTTTCAAAGTTTGTGCGCGCTCCCGCATCTTTTTTAATATCGAGCCCTGAAAAAGTTTTGATCAGATAATACCATAAATGCTATAAAAGTAGGAAGCAGTGTGGAAATACCTTCTTAGCGTCTCCCACTGCTGAATTATCAAGCAGTTCAAGAATATTTTCGACTGAAATCTGCAGCATAGCGTCTAGTTGTCGGCACGCGTCGCGAACCGGCACCTCGTCAGGAAGCATATCGGGGAATCGCAACGACAGCCAGAGATACGTATCGAGCACCTCGTACACCTGAACGGAAATATCAAAAGAATAAAAAGGCTGCACCAGTTCAAAAATGTGAACAAATTAAATGACTGCGCACTGCAGCCCGTTCTTTGCCATCATGGAGCTCTAGAGAGTATGCTACCGCAAGTGACACCGAGCATGTTTCCATGAGGCCTACCTCACAACAGTTGAGGGCTGCCGAAAGAAGTTGCACTACGGAACCCATAAGCTGACATTGCCATACGGCTTTTAAGGGCAGGAACAGTACGAAGAAATCGTAAACAGCATTCCCAAAGCAGATGAGGTAATGAATCTCCTCTGGAAAGGGAATTGGATGGACTTCCCGTACCAGATCGCAGAGTCGGATCGCTTAGCTGACGCAGTGCTCTCCTGCTTCAGGGGAGGATCGCCAGGCTAGCGCCGTACGAATCTCTTTTCAGAAGACGGCCAAAAATACCTTCCTTGAGTGACAATCTTGGACCACAAAATAAACACCATAACCCTTTCATCTTTTGGCAATTGATCACCAAATATCCGCAAATCGCCGATTATTACGGTGTTATTAATGTGAAAAGCGGCGATAGTGGCACGGAGTCCTGCTGGAACACAATTACATGAAGAGAAGTGCAGTGGACTTCGAAGCAGGGTAGGGGGTTACAGAGCCCAAAAAAGAAGTGAAAGGGTGCTTTCAAAGAGGGCGTCACAGAGTCAAGCACACGGTAGCGGTTGCCTCGAATAAGGGAAAATTGCCAGATGTTGCTTGCTGAAGAATCATGACTTCCTGAGACTAAGCCCACTTCCCCTGCAGATATTGGCCACAACACTCGCCAACGTCATCCATTACTTGCCAGCTAGCTACTAGCAACACGGTGACGCATGTCCTTAACTCGCATAAGCATAATTAGTGAATTGTGGAGTTCGGACAGGAAGCTTAAACGATGCATAATCTTCTGTTTACCACTTCCTACTACCCACCGATTAAACTGCGATACGCCAACTGAAAGACGTAAGCTGGGATGACCAGAAGCACTTAAATCTTTCTTTCGCTTCCTGCTGAGTTCTGAGCAAAAGGCACGGATCAGCAGCCGGGCGCTGAGAGCAAGCGATAAGAAACGAGCAAAATGATCTGTGTCGTGTTGAAAATGCAGCAAATGAATTCCAAAGTGTGCTCTGCAGCAAGAGAGATGTAGCAACCTTATAGTTTACAGAGAAATTAGAGGGCTTACTTGCCTAAATTCAATTGAAGAAACCTTGCACACTAGTAATAGATGATAATATCAAACCTTTTCCAGATGTTCTAATTGTTGAAGATTCTCAGGTTGACCTATTGAATCCCAGTCCAACATGTCCATTATCCAATCATAAGTTAAACACTGGCCAGATGAAAACCTAGAAGAAAAACAAAGTTGACCTTGATCTTGTACAGTAGCAGATTCTGTG